CTTTCCAACTTTCACAAGACATTTATTCACAGCCGTTCTTGGGCCAGCATCATCTGTTATCAGTTGTGGTGTCTCACGCCCACCTGCATTTTTCCTGCCCCAACACATACTTTAAGTAACCATATCATCATGCAGCCTTCACCTTTGGCAGATGGATGCGCTGGGATACAAGACCCACATACATGCCTGCTCATACATACGTGGCAGACGTGGCACCACGTCCAGGCTGTCCTGCAAGCAGCACAGGCTGACAACCCTGCTTCACGGTGCTCAGTTAAGCCGTTACCCTGCAGTTAAAATCCAGAAATAATCAGGCTGAGAAGGAAGGAATTAGGCTCAATGGCCATGGGCCCACATGTCTTAATTTCTGGGCAAGTTAGGTAGTTATAGGAAAGATTATGCCTGCGGTTCCCTCCTCTGGGGACTCAGTGTTTCTCAGGAGTTTCTCCCCGCGGGAGGCACAGGATGCAGCAGCACAGCTGCAAGCATGGCAGCACCTTTCCAGTGGGATAAGGATGCCCTTGGTGAGACAGGCTTCCTGACTAATTTAGAGCCTACCTTCAGGTCTCCTAACTAATTAATGCTCTATCCTCCTCCTTCAAGCCTAACACAGGGATCAGAGTCAAGAAGATATTTATGTACCAAATCCCAGTCTGCTCTAACTCTTCAAGGCACGTTCTTAATCCGGAGCCTCTCTGCCTTATGACGTGAGGCTGCTCACAGCACAGGGACAGCCGGGGGGAGACCAGCCCTATGCTGGTGTCACCTCTCCCTTCCTCCACCTCTCCTGCTTTTCCAAAGAACGCACCATTTTCCCAACAAATAAGGAGTGCTAATAGCTTAAAATTGGCATATGTACTGGGGCGACTTCCCCCAGGGTGCAGAAAGCGTACTAAATGGGATGCAGTTCAAAGTGTTGTGTATTATCCAGGACGAATGTTCCTTGCACGGCAAATGTGCAAGCTCCGTTTGAGGTATACGCTCCTTACAGTGATGTTTCCAGCCAGAACAAACCCTCGTTTTCCAGTATCAGCCATTTGATGCAGGGACTGTATAGACTTGCTCATGGATTTAGCAAAAGGAATAACTTGGTATGCTTGTGGGCGTTTTGTGAATGCGGACTCTCGCCCTTGTGCTTACAGCCTAAACTTTAATTGAAACTAAACATGAAGAACTGATACCAGCTCCAGTCTACAGTACAGTGCAAGAGGACAAAGTATAAAGGAGAATTTTCTTTATTTTTAAATATTAGTAACACTGCACAAAACAAAAAAAAGTGGTACTTAAGTGACAGAAAACCGGTACTCAGTCTTATTTCATATTAACCATAATTTAAATACCCTAACAGAGTTCATGTATGGTTATATGTTTGCGTAGGGTTACATTGGGTACTGTAAGCATTTGAAGCTAAACCGTTCAGATACCAGACACCAGAATGTTACATCAAACCAAGCTAGAATGCAGACTTGATTTTTCTGTTTAGCTTCTTCCTTACACCATTATGTGCATTGCTACATCTTTTAAACATTAGGATGAGTGAGTTTCTCCAGGAACTGTGGACTTTCAATATTGCCAGGTTTAAGTCTGTTACATCTACAACATATCGGCGAGAGGAAGAACAAAAGAAACGAAACAAAACCATAAGCTGCTAACTCCTACTTGGAGGTTAAAAAGAAGAGGCAACATACTGACAAGAAACATGCAGGTAAATGCTTAAGGCAACGGAAGGGCTCTGTACAAACTAAAAGGTTAAGAGAAGCAATGTGTCATGCACATGAGACAAGTATGGGAAGCAAGGAAGTAATCTTGCCCAAAAATACACATTTCTTTTAAATTGAAGACATCTTTTCAAGCTAAAAAAAACCCTAGTCCTGCAATAAAACCGATGCAAAATGCTTTCATACATAAGTGTATGTTCTTTGTAACATAGGTGTAAGTTCTTTGCAGAAACAACTTGATAAAATCTTATACAGATGCTGAAAAATGTTTGTTATCTAAAACCTACTCAGCAGAAACAAAGAGCAGTTTTAAAGTAGCACTTAGATCATTTGACTCTAGGTTCTGAAAATAAACTTTTAAAATAAGGAATGATTTCACTAAATGATTCATCGGGAGTCAACTATGCTTAAGGACATCAGTAGGAGTGCTTACAGGAGACCACCGTTACACTAAGTTTCTTAAAATCAGAGGATATAACTCCATGATAGAATTTAAAATGAAGGAACATTTTAATAGCAGGGACAAACCCTTGCTGCCCAGCTTGGGGAAAAAAAACCCGCCATAAAAGTCACTTATTAAGCTTGCATAAATTACCCTATAAGAGCTCACGTCTCAATCCCATTCCCAATGACATGAGTGAATAGGACTCTTCTTTCAACAGGCCTGATGTTGATGCCAGAGTGATCAAACAAACAGGCATTTGCACAATTACACCCTTTATATCCTACAAAACAAATAAACAAACACTAGACTAGAGTTGTTTTAGTCCCAGGGAAGGAAGAGGTAAGAAATTCTGTAACGCTTCAAACATAACACACTTCTAACCAAGATCAGCCTTGTTCGAATTCCCTAACCTGACTGGCAAGAAAGCCACTCCGTGAAACTAAAAAGAGTAACATAGTGCAATTTTAGTACAGTTTTAAACATGAGTCACTTCCTTGCTAGCAGTGTGAACAATCAAAAAATATACACAAAAGAGTGTGCTCAAATGTTACATTAAGTTGTCATTATTATAAAGGTATTAGCATAGCAGAGAAGTCCATTTTAGTAACTCCCTTTGGTTGACTTCTTCTTCTTCTGTTCCTCTCTCTGCTTCTGCTTCCTCCTCTTGCTGCCTTCTTTGTGTCCTGAGGAAACATGGCTTGTAAAACACTATTCACAGCATTCATGGACTTTTCCCTCTAGCAAAAGCACACATTCTCTGAATGGTTTAAGGAATCTTAAAGAAAAGGTCTGGCTTTCTAATATAGTTTTTTAAATTATCAGTTCTACTATATCCCCAGTTCTACTATATCACTTACATAGGACAGAAAGGAAACCCTATCAATCTTTGAAGTTTGAAAAGATCTGGAGAACTTTCAAAAGACTTCAAAGCCATTCAGGAAAAGCTTCAAAATTAGAGCACATGCAAAACCAGGATAATCTTCAAAATGGAAGCCATAAATAAGACTTATACAGCAGGAGCTATTTAAGTACTGGCGTTTCCTGCTCACAGTAGTCAGAGTTACCACGATATTTGCATTTCCATTTTAAGACTAGGGACT